TGGAAAGATATACTTCAATCTATTTCAAACTTTTAAATGAAACTATCGTTTTCTCTCTCTCCATCACTTCAGTAAGAACTGCTTAAGGCTCAATACTCCAACAAACCTAATGATAACACAGCATTGCACTCAAAGACTATAATGCTCTAATCTAGTCTTTCCTTTATACCTTTTTTCTACCCCAAGAGAGTACATCTTATTTTGACTAAAAGATTGATCTTGGACTAAATATAAAGTATCCTTCTGGATGAGCCATTTTTTTGCTTTTTGCTCTCTAGTCCGAATTGTGGATATATTTCCCAGTTACATTTTGTATTTTGAGACAAAATACAGAGGAATGAGGAGGAACTTCAGCCAGGTTTCTGAAGTAAATAAAAACTTATTTTTGTAACTGAACTTTTGTAATGCTTATAATTCATGGGAACTGAAAAATAAGATCTGGTCTTTGTGAAACTGCAGTAGATATGGATCTAGAATGAAAGGCTGTCCTATAAAATTAGACAGACTTTGGAGATATGGATTTATTCTTAAGGATATATTCCTTCCTGGATGTCAGGTGCCATTTGTCACACCCTGGATTTTGCTGTCCATCAGGATATAGGTGAAAAAAATTTAAACCGCTTCATAGCTCAAGGAATTTAGTCAAGAGACATTTTTATACAATAGAGAAGGAAGTCACTATCCATTAACAAAGAATGAAAGAGCCAAACAAATCTGTATTAGTGTGCATATGTACAGTGGCAGGATGCACAACACTATGCTTCTTGAAGTAGCACTGTTGCAGGGTACACTGCATCACAGATGACAAAAAAAAAAACTTTTGGCATGCCTAGTTTGATGCAAGGCTGCAGGAATACTTTGTTTGCAATAAGGATAGGGAAAGTCATAACAGCAAATTTAAAATTTATGTGTGGTTTTAATTTATTAATTTATTTACTTTACTTTCAAGTTTGAAATTGCATCAAAGATATAAAAATATCTTTGGTGTAAAATAACCAGGCTCTGGTTCTGACATTGATACCACATGGCCAGGCTGCTGAGTCCACAGTGAGCCCTGTAACTTCACCACAACTCTCGTCAGAGCATCAGTTTTCTCATATACTGCTGACCTCAAGATTATAGTTCAAGTTCACTGACATTATGAAGAGGTACCATTAAATATAACCCGCAAGACTTTTCTTCCCCCCTCTTCTCCTAGGACAGCTTAGAAAGAGGAAGAACTGCACAGCAAGACTGTCGTAACATCCTCTGACCTATTACTGAGGATCACACCTGACCTCGCATCACTGCTGCTAGCCCCAGTCAGACACTTCTCCTTCAACCTGGTAGACTGCTCACAGCTATAAGTGAGAAATTGGTGCCAGTGAACAGTTGTTTTATTGCACATGTTCTTGTGCATTGGAGGACAAGGATCCTCTGAACTCATTTCATTTGCCAACCTTCAGATACGTTGGGTTAGTAATCTTCACCCCTGAATTTTCTGGGGTGATGATTACTACCACATAGTACCTCCTCAAAACATACAGAAAGCAGGGACAGACCTGAGGTTGGCTAGTGCTGTTTGATGTATTGGATGGTCTCTTACCAATACGTGTATTGTTTCTCTGACACAGAATTATATTTTTCCTCACTCATTTCTTAATGGTCATGAACTACTGGCAGTAATTTACTGATGCTCAAAAGATCACAAAATAATACCTAATTTTCTTCATACACAAACTTCTTTTTTATTTATACATATACCCACACATGCATATATATATATAAAATAATAATAATAATAATATAAGAGACTTTTTTCCAGTAGAGTCACCACATTCTGAATGACTAATCACAAGAAAGTAGAAGCCAACTGAAAAGAGACATAGAACATACCTTTTTCCTATTCTCCCTTCCCACCCAGTCTGGTGCTCTTAATTTAACTTTCTTAATTTAGTGATAATTACAGATGCAAATATGTCTATAAAAATCAAAATTAGGAAGTAAACAGTAATAGTTGGGTAGTTACCAACATCAAATGGTGCCTTTAGCACCACATCTGATTTGTGTTCTGAGAGGTCTAACTCTGCTGGGAGAGGCATTCATGGTCTTTCAAACTAGGATGAAGATTCTTACTATCAGTGAATTTATCTGCTAGAAGTAAATTAAGACCTGAAGTAATTCCTTCCTCAGTATTACAGGAGACAGAAATGAACACGATGTGATGATGGTAGGCCAGATGTGGTGTGACTCCACAAACCTTTTATGCAGTTTTATGCAGCAGGCACTCACTTTGTGGGAATGGAAGGTGTTGGTATGTCTGGTAGAGAGAAAATGAGGGTGTAAATGGCTGATGTTTCCTAATGCTACTTTCCAATTCTACTAATTGTTAGTAGACACCAGGGAGACAAAAGCATTACTTAAGCTGGAGGACAATGCTGATATATTAAGAAAAGGCTGTTGGGGCCAAAAATAAGTTTATTCTGGAAGCTGAATCTATTTTTCTGAGATTGGGACATCTAAGAGTTCTGAGCTGCCTTCCACTAAAAGGGTAAGTGACCCAATTTTCTTTCCACCACAGAGTGGGGGGTTATTGTATTTTTTAACATAGCAATATGAAATAAGTGTCTGTAATAGCACAGGCATTGCTTCAAAAGCCAAGAGATTTCTTCCAGGCCTACATCCCCATGAAGGGAGAAGAATAAAGAGTAAAATAGTGCATGGGTATGACTTACCACAAGGAAACATGATTCTTGTTAAATGTCTTGACAAGAATATTGTGGTTTGGGAGACAGGAGGGCAGTAAGGGGAAGGGTTGTTGAGGGTCACATTGCTTTGCAGTCCAGGGCATGCGATGGCCTCAAGCTTTATGAACACTTACTACCACGGGGTCTATTATCTGCCAGGCACCACTGAAGCCTGAATTATTGCATTTCAATAAAAATTGCAGCTTTGGTACTTAACCCAACAGCTAGATTCTTGCATTCTCTTCCAACACTGGACTGGCATCAGCAAAGAAATGGAAAGCAAGATAGCTACCCCCATCCTGCCCTGTTTCCCCTTCCCCCCCCCAGACAGAGTGGCACATACAGTAACTCTGGGCTCAGACAGGCTAGGGACAGACTAATTTTGATTGGTGATGAATGCTGCCTAACAATGCGCTACCACAAACCACAGAAACTTCTGTGCTAGAAGCAAATTATAAAATAAAGCCTCAATGTAGTTTAGGTGGCAGTTTATGTGGTGACATAGTATCAGGGGTTGGGCAGGGAGGCAGGAGTTAACCAACCCCTCAGAGATTTTGGAAAGCCAAAAAAAAAATTAAAAATTAAAATTTGTCTAGACGCTAACAATGTGCTATAAGAAACTAGAGAAAACAACAAAAAACCAACAACACTGCTTAGAAATGCCTCTATGAATATAAACTCATTCCTCATCTATATGTGAAGTGAAAAATATTAAGATAAATGATGCTATTTACTGGCATGATGCACCTAACATCAAAACAGATGTGTATTTTTAATGTTGGGTGCATTAAACACATTATCCGACTTTCAAAGTACAATAAGTGATTTATGTTAGAGGTTGAACATGCCAAAGCAGCAACTAAAATGTAATAGAAAACTGAGCAGAACAGTGCAACCAACAGACAAAGTCAGTAAGAAAACTCAGAATTAACCAGAAAGCTGGGAGCTAAAGCTTAAATAAATCCTTGCTTTTGATTATCTTACACAAAATCAATTTGTTTTTAACTGTTAGCAATACCTTCCAGGATTTCATCTATAGTCCTGCTACGCAGAGATACAAACATCTTTACCAACCAAGGAAAAAACATTTACTTTGTCAGAAGGCTCAGCACAACATTGCTTTTTCAGAACAATGCACCAGACAAGATTTCTAGATTGAGCACAGGGTTTTCTAGCCTTAGCTTTTCATATTAAAAACAAAGCAAAACAACCACCACCTCACAACATGTCCCAAAGGAGGTTAATGTTTCACCCACAACTACAAGAGAAAAGAAGAGCAGGCCTTTTAAAAAAGCTTCTTCACATTTGACTGCAAGATAAATAGGAAAAAATCTCCAGCCATTCTTCTTGCCTTCATAGACTTGTCAAAATAAAGACTTGTCACAACTCTATTTGGAGGGCCTACACATAAGAGGCTACCTTCAGTATGATGGCTCACTCCAAAGAGGTTGGAGGAACATTTTTGATTAGAAACTTGCCTTCCTACAGTGGCGTAGCTAAACACTGGATGTCTCTACTTGGTCAGAAAGACACATTCAACGGACATCACCTTATCAGGATACAGAAAATCAGATTTTGCTATACGTGAATGAAAATTGCAGTCAGTGTTGAAGGATCTCAAGCAATTTCACTAGCATAACACTAATTTGAAGCAACCTGAAGCCAGACCAGTCAGCTAGTACACACATTTTACACTAACCACTATATGCTAAAACTATAGATGACCAGAGCTTATATATGGGCAGAGAGTAATATAACACAGGGTCCAGGCTCCAGGCAGAGCATGGTGCCCGCTGAGGCCTGCTGCAGAATTGCGCTGGTTGTTACGGGGATAATGGCTGCTGGGTGGGAGGCCTCTGCGCCTGTTTGCTGAGAATTAGGTAGGGAAGGAATTAGCTTGGAAAGGGCTTAAGCACTGCTTGAGTGCTCTGTTAAGGGCACTGAGATAAAAGAAGGGATTTTAAAATGAACTAGGGGACTCCAGGGTACTGTGGGGATTTAGGAAAAGCTCACAGTGACATACAGTAATAGTGCCGTGATCTTTGACATGTAAGTATTGTCCTTACTTCACAAACTCCATGCTCGGCAAAGTTAAAAAAAAACAAAACACAGGGTTTGTTTTAAAGATGAGAAGGAATAAGACTGCTAATATTCAGGCAACACTTACAAGAGCAATTTACCTTTTTAGCCATGGATCTGAGGTCCCCTGGGGGAACACATCAGCACCTCAGGGATGAGGAGAGGAGAACTGGGTGAAAGCAGGCAAACACTCACCAGCTAGACCACCAGAAAACACAACAGGTGGTTAGGAAGCAAGGTGCCGAAGGTGCAGATGACTGGCTCTGCCAAACGTGAAGAATTGGTCTCAGAAAGGCAGGCTGGAAAAACCTCCCTTCCAAGGGGCAGCATAGTGTGAGGGAGAGCTTTTAAATGTTGATTGGTCACACCTGGGTTAGGTAAGTCCTTACGTTCCTCCTAGAGCAGCTGAGAGGCTGTATTGTAATTCAGAGGGAGGCAGCCCACCAGACAGTTATCCTCTGGGAAGTGCCTCCTCTTCTTGCTTCAGGTCAGGGTTAAAATAAATTACTGCAGTTCTATATGATGCACTATACCTCCTATTAAGTATTTAATCATTTGCATCTGGTAGGAGGCAAGGTGTGAGCTGGCTCCACTCATGCCTTTGTTTGGCCTTGTTTGCAGAGGCAAGTAGAGCTGTGGTTCGAGCAGCATGGCTGATGGAGGCCTGGGAGCCACTTATAGAAAATTGCAGTCCCTATGTGGGCGCATCTCATTGCTTTGCTCATTGGTTTCAGAGACTGAAGGATGTGTGAGAACTGGGATAGCCTCCAAATTATAGCAGCTTCTCCCTCGGGCCTGCCTCAGCCACTGGCACTCATGGGTATTTGTTTCCTGCTGCTCCTTCGAGCAGAAATTCCTCTTCTCATGCTTAATCCAATGACGAAGTCATGACAGAAACAACAAGCAAGCAATGCAAGTCTTCCCTGTCCCACAGAATAAGAATCATATTCAGCTTTGGTTTTCTTCTGGGAGTTACGGAAATGGGTGTGGAGCATGAGGGCTTTCTACTCCTGAGGCTGCTGCTAGTTCAAAGCAGGCAGTGCCCTCAGTTGTTATAAATCCTCTGACTATTGCCGAAGCTGGCATCAAAGCTGGACTGGTGAAGCACTGGTCACTAAGGTCGAGCACTGCTTTGGCACAATTCAGAAAGAGAGGTCTGATCTCTTCCCCGTATGTTCATGCATACTCCCAATTGTCCCTTTCAGCACAATACTCACACAAAACCATGGGGGTGGGGTACAGAGTGGGGGAAAGGGTAAACAAAACAAAATAAAATTCTGCTACCTATTGTCCCTTCAGATTTTGAAAGGTAATTTTTTGAATGTCCTTTCTAATTGCAAACACCTGAAGTGCAGTCAGCTGTGGGAATAGTGGAGACCATATAAAAACTGTGGTAATTACAAAGGTTCAGGGAAGTCTGAAGTAAAACTTCCAGGAGGCAAAATCAGCTGGAAACACCAAAGTACTATTCATGGTGTAGCTATTCAGATTTGGTTAAATAGATACAGTAGAACATATCCCATCTATGTGACTAACTTTTAATAGCTGCTATTCATTTTGCATTTTCTCTGTAGGGAAGATATGTTTCTGAAATACTTTAACATCCAGTTTAACCACTCCTATCCAAATATGTATAAAACCATATTTCTTTTATCATTTTAATTTCCTTTTCTCTTAAAGATTAGGCTGGGGGTTATATTGCCATAGAGAGGTGGTGGGGTAGGTTGAGGCATTCTAATCAGGGTACTCTGAAATTCAGCAAGAAAATATACTGAAAATTAGTTGAGTGTATTCAGAAATAACTGTAAGATGCATTTGTTTGGCTAGGCCTTTGAAAACCTGCCTATTATTTCCTAGTATTTGGGATAGGCCCTGTAGAGCATTTGAACTCTGAAGAATTCACTTTCTATGCAGGAAAATTTGTTAAGCTTTTAAGTCAAATTCTTTACACTACCAAGCATTGTGAACCAGGTCATGTAGAAACCTATGCACTAGATGTAACTTATGTTTTACAGAATTCTGTGTACAACTGGCTATTAATTTGTTCTGTGTTAGGAAGTTTCATGAAAAAAATAATGAAAAAAAAAATATAATTCAGCTCACCTTCCCCATTATTTTAATGACCACATTTTTCTAGTTTCAGATTTAACTTCCTATCTCAACCTCAGTCCTACAAACAATTATGTAGACACCTTTTGGGAGGTGCAATCTGTGGCAGTACTCGTGTTGTAAGCATCACAAAATCTTCACTAAAAACAAAAAAATGCAGAGGACAAATCAATGCTAACCTTGAACTCCTGATTATTTGAATTTCTTACTGCATTTGAAATGTTCAATGTTTTAAACTTTGTTACTCTTGTTCACAATATTTATTTCTATTAAGGTTTTTGTGGTACAGAAAAAAAAACAAAACCAAAAAACAACAACCATACAACACCAAACAAAGCTTATGCTTAGTGATATTTTAATATCTTTATAGCTGTGTGTGCAAGTTCACACTTCAGTGAGGAATAGGGTGAAACATGGAAAGTTTCCATCATTGCAGCTGCTGCTAGTTGACATGGTAGTAAGGCAGATTGCTGTAAGGACAGTGGTACATCTGCTTCCCTTTTTATGGCAAGGAGTCAGACATTCTCCATAGTTCCAGCTTTCTTGTTCTGCTTGTGTAGTGCAAATAGATTCCAATATGCCCACAAGTACCTCAAAAAGAATTAATGCTATGAAGGGAAAAAAAAAATCAACACTCACCTAAGCATAATATCAGACTTGACCCCCCTTCACGTGGCACCTTCTTTTATTCATATTATAAGTGGTGAAGAAAAAAAAAATCAGAAATAGCGGTGCACTGCTACAAACATCCAATAAAGGCCAAAATTATAGTTTAACACAACTCATTAATTACTGTCATGCAGAGAAGGGAGTAAAATACCTTTAAAATGGCTCCTAGGATTATATTGAAGGGAACCCTGGCACAGGACAGAATATAACCCCAAAGCTTGGAAAAGGAAAAAGACAAAACCTTTGATCTTGATCATTTGCTATGGCCTGAGCTCACAGCTCAGGGCAGAAATATTGGCCTCTCCAGAGCCTGGAATGGCTGTATGCCAGGCAAGACCTCTGCAGTCCAAGCATAAGGACAGCTCTAAATAACACTGGCTACCAACAGCCCAAAGGGCAGGAATGCAAGAGCTAGGAGGGAAGTGGGACAAGTGGTACCATAGCCATACATCCTATTTTAGCAGCAACAAGAGATGATGATTTTGAGAATGCCATCTCTAAGTTGTCTTTCAAACTAATATAATCCTCTTGTTTCCTGCTGCACCGGTTTTAAGGCCACTTTGGTCTTCTGGGGCAGTATAAAGCTGCTGTAGCTCCACAGGGGAAAATGTTGGCTATTCTTCTTATAGCAAAGCTTGACTGTCTGAGATGTTGTAGAAAGGAACATGAATCTCAGTAACCCTCTGAAAGTGCAGTGTACACAAATAATCTCTGTGCCTGCAATTCTCTCCTGGCGTGGACTCTAAGGCAATTTTTAATGAGGATTTGGCTCTTAGTGTATGTTTCCATGAAACCCTTGCAATCTTCTTTTCCAGCCCCCACAATAATACCTATGTGCACACAAATAATGAAGTCCAGTGTACAAATATGCAGTTCCACATGCCAGTTCTTCAGCTTTCCAGCCCTTCGACAGGCTCCAGCAGAGCAGCATGAAAGGAGGCAGGAGAGCTGCTAAGACAGTGACACCCAGAGCAAGGAGCACAGAAGAGCATATTGCACTGCTCTGTCTGATCAGATTGTTACTCTGACATGGAAGAGAGAGCTGTAGGCTGACAGAAAATGTTTATTACCTGGACAGCAAGAAGACAGCAGTGAAAGGATCAAGGCCTCTTAAAGCATATAAAGCTGTCCCAAGAGCACTAGGTCCTGGTCAATGGGCTCTGCAAGGAGCAGCTTACATAGAATAACCATGTTTCAGTGTGGACAGTTGCCTAAACCCCAGCTTAAAATAGTTAAGTGCTCCACTCTCAGTCACATGATTCCTCAGTCTTATAACTCCAGGAGAGAGGGATGCAAAATTTTTAATTATTCATTTACTTATTTATTAAAACAACAAACAACAACAACAACAAAGCCACCTTTTCCTTCTGAACCGAAATATGAAGGGGAATGGATGAATATCATGTCTTTGTTTCCTTAAGGTTTGAACAAGACACTGACAGATGATGGGAGGAATGCAGAAATGAGGAAGAAAAGGAAACTGCAAAACATAGATTTTTCCTCTAATGATGAGAGGAATACCAAGAGATCGTGTACAATTTCAATAAATACATGTCATTCACTGACTTCTCAAAAATTGTCATTATCCTTAACAATAAATGAGTAATAACAGATCCGTAAGGTAATGCTACAAGGGTTTTCTCTACTTATGAGAAAGCTAGAATGTTAGAATGTTTCTGTGCAGGAAAACACAGCCTTGAAAAATGACTTCCCCTTGGGAAGATGCAAAACAAAAATAAAGAGCATCAGGAAGCAGAGGTGTCCACATCAACAAAATGGACTATCACAGGGATAAAGCTACCTTGCAGGGTCCAAAAGACAACTGGCTGTGCTGCTCAGTCACTTATTGGTGCAAAGTCTTTATGACCAGAAAGCCCTTTGACATTTACATTTCTACTGGGCAGTGACAGTGACATCAAGTGGATACATTAGTGAATTAAACAACTGAGTTACTCTGACAGAGGAGATACTGTATTTTAATAATGATTCATTTGAAAAGTTCTTAAGGCATAAGACAGAGTGAAAAGCGACCTGCCCTTTGAGATACTTTTTGTGTTCATGCATACAGAGTCCCCTCTCTGCCTCTGCATATAGAGCAACTCCCATTTTATTTATTTGAACAGAGAAAAGGGAAAATTTCCCAAAGAGGGTGAGAAAAGAGCAAAAATTTGGAAGCTTCATCTTCCAGATACAAATAGCAACAGTTCATGAATGCAGAATTAGTTTGGGATAACTCGGATGCATAAAATAAGACTGCCCCAGGCTGTTTTAACTTCTTCACAACAGTTCTGTAGTAGCTATTTAGTTATCCAGTAATGCCAAGCAACTGCTGATGACTTAATTATCCACAAAGTATGCATGCATACACCCCAAATGAGTCCACTGCAAATGTACTCGCATCATTAAATTTAAAGTAAGGCACCAAAGCATTTTGGAAAATACATTGGAACTCTTTAGTGAAAAGCCTTTTATAATTCCATATGTCAGTAAAAATATTCAAATGCAAAACCTTTGGATTAGATTTATTCTAAGAAAAAAAAATATGCTATTTTTACCATGAAAATGGTGGCAGAGTCTTTTTTATCCTCATCTGTCAGCACCCCTCTTTCAACAATATACTCCTGTGTGACCAATGCTGCCATTTCAACATAAGTGCCTG